ATGAGCACCAATAAGTGAAATCTGATTTTTTTACAACGGTGCTTATCTCTTTGTCTTTCAGATTGACTTCCAATATCATCCACTGTTTGGTCTCCTAGGTTTGTTTATCCTTGTCTGTCTGGTAGAAATATCTAGCATGACATTTGTATGGCACCCACTTCCGTGGTAGCTGAGTACCTTCTCTGGACTGGGGATGGGACCTGTTTTCATATCAGATCTTAGCTGGGATGTTGTTTTGAGCCTCATCAATGTGATCCTTTGATGGGAGGAGTACAAGAAGTGGGTAGTTCTGACAATCAAAGCAGCAGTTTTGTTCCTACAGAGCAGAGCAAATCCCGGTGTCAGCCTCCATCCCTGCTCCGGGATCCTTAGGGCATGCCTAACCCCGCCCAACGCCACACCAAAAAGCAGGACAGAGATGTCAGCAACCCTGAAAACCATGCTGAGTGCAGGCAGTCTTACGTTCAAAAGGAGCCGGTGCTCGCTTCGATCCGAGCTGATCAAGCTACATACCAAGGTTGCTGTTCAAGTCTCTTCAGCTCACACCACCTCTGCACCACACATTTTACATCCATATGTCCCGTATCTGCTGTTAATGCGTCCATGTTCATTTTCTCTCTGTGGTGAAACTCAATTTTTTTTTCTTTGTTCTCATCATTTCCACCTCTGATTTCCATGGCATCAGACAAAAACTTTTATTTTTGCTCCCACATTCACCTGAAACTCCGGGTACCTTTTGTAACCCTATCCAGATACAGTACATTTAATGTCAAATTTTAATGTGTCAGATTTGTTCTTTGCTACTTTTCCTGATTTTCTTTCTACTGGCATACAAATATCGATCCTTTTGTGAAACTTTATTTTTGTTGCACATTGTTTTGTGGTGTTTTTCTCATCAGAGACATTATCTTGACATTGGTGTATTTGCTGCATTCATGTATTTCTGCTTCTTTAAATGACTTCATGCCTCACTTTTGTGCCCCTAGTAAACTTTTAAAAAATTGTTTATAAATCAGATATTTATGGTAAGATGCATATGAAAACACGAGGAAAGAATTATAGTTTTAGGGAGAACATACCCTGATAATGACCTCTTAAATATTTGTAAAGATAGCCCTGGGCATCTGAGCCCACAAAATAGTTTATAATACAACAGCTTGATTACATAATGATACTTTAGTTTTAGAACGTATGATCTTTCTGTTTATGGGAAGGCATAATAGGCTCCTTTGAAATACAATATTTTTGCCCTGAACATAACTGATTTTAAATGAAAGGACTAAGTAAAGAATGCCTTTCTTCAAGTTTGTACTTCACTTTGTTGTTGAATCCAGCACGATGGTTTCTTTTACAAAACTCCTACCAGGCCTGGGGACCACACCTATTTCAGGATACATTAATTGTGAAAGTTTCATGGGTTTCTATGCAGGAAGTTACCTAGTACCGTTTAAAATAGTATGTTTCAAATTCTAAATCTTGTTAAAAAACAAGAAAGAGAGAAATTTCTGTATACTACCACCCCTCTTCCCCCTGTACATAGAGAATTTCTTTTATATTGTGTTTGAAGATATTGTCAAATATAGATTAAGCTTAGGCAGAATGCAATGTGATTTGGGAGAGGGGTTTGTTCTATGTAACAGAAAAGAATTAATAAGAAAGTTTCATTCAAGGCAGTTCGTAAAGCATCAGGACTACCTCAACCAATATCAAAGCCTAATATTTGAAAACGTATGTTTGAAAAATATATCACCTAGGCTCTAATTTTTTACTGAGTTTTTAATGTTTCTCTGCAATACCTGGTTCCAGCTCAAACTGCTGCTGGAGCCAACACTGACCTACATTCATGGTTATTTCCATTTTTGGCTAGAAGCAGGAGTGCAAGAAATGCTCTTAAATAAATGTTCTTCTAACATCTTCTGTGCGGTTATGGAGAGTGAATATAACATTCATTATTGTTCATGAACCTCGACGAAGGCTGAGCTCAGTTGCCTTTTAACTTTCTCATCACAAGTACCTGTATAATTTTTTAAATTAAAATAATTAAAATTTGTCTAAGTTTGGCAGCTAAACTGAAGTTATTACCATGCTTTTGGTTATCATTTCTAATTGTGGGTCCATCCTGTTCTCAGGTTCCTCATTAAAACAAACACAGAGTTGGAGATTGGGATATGAAGCAAATAAAATACTTGTTCTCTAGGGCAAAATCCAGTGATTTTTACTTGATAAACTCCACTCCAAAACACAAGAAGGTCACCCTATAGTGAACAACAGTTGGACTTTATTACACCGAACATTTTTTCTGAAACGTTCTTTACCACTATACTTAAACGCCAGCACCAGATAGGAAACTCTGCAAGGCTTTTGTTTCATCTTGTTCCCTAAGTATTTATAGCCTGCCGTGAAGAAACACTGACAGCAGTGCAGTGATGTTTTTATTCTTGATAGAGGTGCCCTTAAAAGTGAATTTGCTTTGAAAATTGTTCATAGAATCAGGATATTAGAACTATAAAGACATAGTTCTCTCTCTCTCTCTCTTTCTCTTTTGCACCTAATTGGATTTCCAAAATAAGTTGTTAACAATCCAGCTAAGATAATGTGGTCATGAAAAGGATGTCCAAATCCACCAATTTACATTGGTTTGGTTTGGCTTAACTTTCAAAGTTCTTGGAGCAGAAATTTGATGGCACGTGAACACTATAATTGGCTTGATATTCTTGGATTTTTTTTTCTCTCTGCCATATTGTATAGTGTCCAAATGAAATGTTATTCAGACCTCATTTCTGGACCAAAGTAATTTTGTAACAATAATAATGCACTTGTAAACTCCAGATCATTTTGCAAGATGTAATATCCACCAATTTACAACATAGTTTGTCATTTTCACTTGATCTGGATAATTTATGCAGGTTCCAAATTGATGCTATTAATGTGAGACATAGCTATTTCACCCAATGTGACATGTATCTCTTCCACTTCCACATATCCAAAAAAGTTAAGAACTCAATTGAATTAGATCCAAACAAAAGTAAACATTCTGTTTTGGGGCTTGTTTGTTTGTTTGTTTTATTTTTCCTCTTTACTTTCTGGTTTAGACTTGAATTTACATGATGCAATCCTTAATCCCTTACCACAAGAGTCCCACATTCCTATGCTGGGAATTACTCTTGCTCTCTCACTCTCCCTTGACTACAACAGAATGAGACCCTTCAGCTTTAGGATAGAATTACATTACTTAAACATTTTAGTAATTTCTATTTGCTCATATGTTATATATCCAGTAGATGGAAAACTTCCAAGTGTTCTTGATTACCAAATCCTTTTTGATTTCTCTTAAATAAACTTTTTCTTTATCCCTCTGTAACCAAAGGGGATCTTCCTGAAATGAATCATCACTCTCAGTATTAGGTTGCAGGACACCCACAGGTGCAGGGTAGAAAATTTTCTAGTAAAAGTGTATAATATGGAATTATTATTCATTTTTTAAATAGATTTTTTTTTTTTTTAAATGTAAACCAAATCAGGATGTCCTAGCAGGATAGAAATAAAATAAGAACCGCATTTTGTAGAGAGAGAAAACAAACACACAAACAAACAAAAGATTTTATTTGGTTTCAGTCTGCCTCAAAAAGAAAACTAAATCTTTTAAAATGCTTCAAGATCAGTGAGGAATACCTCCCAGCCGTTAAGTCCACCAGCTATGGCACTCATCTGCCAAGGCATGATGCAAGTATTTCTGAAATAAGGACTTGAACCTCAGCTCCTTCCTATTTAAGTGTTATTACAACTGGTCTTCTGGGCTTTTGGACTTGTTTTCACTCTTTTTTTTTTTCCTATAATTTCATTTTTTTCCTTTTTCCCCACCCCAAATTGGAAAAAAAAAAAAAAATCCCTCTTGATACATTGTCAGGAAAAATTTCCTGAAAGTTTTTGTTTTTGACAAATTAGCGTTTTCCAGAAGAAAGGCTTTCTCTGAAATTGCTTGCCAAAAGCTAATTAAAACTTGTGTTCCAAGTGATGAGTAGCCTTAAAAAAACCTGTTTTGTGTAGATTCTCTTAGCTTCTTATGTACTTGCAAGTTTTAAACGTGAAATGACAATGTACAGTTTAGTGTTTTCCATTTTTAAGCATGCAGATTTGGTCGTTGTTGCACAATAGCTAATTCTCCCGGGAAAGGAAAGCAGTTCCCATGTGCTTTGAAATGCTACAGCTATGCAACCAGGGCTGGAGGTGCTATTTTAAACAGTCATATCAGCAGAGCTTGCTGTAGGAGATAATATGTCACAAAAGGGAGTATGACATCTAGTTTCACCTAGAAGATAAACCTTGAGTAGATATGCAGGGAGAAACAAGACTGTCAGGTTGTCCTTGAAAAGAATGGCCTATATTAATGAAGAAATGTACTCCAGGGCATATGCTATTTGGGATATTTAATTTCATCTTCAAACTTGTCTGATCTGCTATGAAGAATATAGTAGAAAAATGGTAGTTGTGCGTAGTGTCACGCACGTCATGGTTTCAGAGTGGGTATCTCACTGCTTTATTTTCAGAAAGGTCACAGCCTCAGAAATCCATGTCTGAAAAAGCCAGACCCCAGAGTGAGAAGTTTCCCCAGCACTATTAATATAAACACCCCACATTTAAGCAGGGCTTGCACAGCATCGTGCGTATCCCAAACAGCCCTTCCCTATGAGCACGAGAGCTAATTCACTTTTCCTTTCCTGTCACACTCAAATACCCTTGCGGAACAGTATTCTGCTGACAGAATTACAAGATAATTATAGTTAGGTGTTTTGTATTCACTTAAGTTAATCTACCACTTTTATTTTTCATTGTTGTTTTAATCAGGCAGGAGGCACTTCAGTTGCTGTCAGGTGGATTATTTTTCAGTCGATCACTACACTGCTCTTCTTCATACTTGTTAGGGCGCTTCTGGCTTCCTGACAGACGTACAAAGAAAAATACTTATATGATCTAAAATGAAATATGTGTTTCTCTTTCAGGTCTAGATGTTGATGGAATATACAGAGTTAGCGGCAATCTGGCAACAATACAGAAGTTACGATTTGTTGTCAATCAGGGTAAGTGATTCCTCCACCCTGGTAATGTTTTGTTTAGTACTTAACTGTCTCAGATGACAGGATTTCAGAATCTGCTATACATTAGTGGCATAGAATGATGAGCCATGTTTTGGAAAAGAGAGGAAAGGGAAGGTAGAAAGATATTGCACAGAGGGAAATGTCGGCTAAGAGAGAGGAAAAACAGCAGAGTAAGCAGAGGAAAAGAGTGGTTAAACAGGAGATGAGAAACAAACAAACAAAAACAAACCAAAGAAAAAAGAAAGAAAAAATGAGGCAGTGGATACATGAAATAAGGTGGCAAAAAACAAAGCATATGTAGAACCCAAAGAATCAAAGTGAGGGGGGAAAAAAAGATTAAAAGGAAAAATAGCAGATTGTTTGGATGTTGAAAGTTAAACAAAACCAAAAGTAGAACAGGAATCCAAAGGAAACCAGCGAAAGAGAGAAAGGTGTTGAAAAGAACTGAAAAGGAAATGCTAAAAGTAGAGTACTGGCTCTGTCAAAGTCAATGGAGAATTTACCACTGATTTTGAAAAGGCAAAGATTTGACCCCGGAAATGAGAAGAGGAAAGACGAATATTTTGGGGACCTGAGAACCAGAATTAGAACCAACTTGTACATATTTACTGAACATATTTCCACAGATTCCACATATAATGAACATATTTTCACAAGTAAAAAAGAACATTTTTCACAAATGAGGCCTAAACGAATCTAACGTTGATCAACAGATAATGTTACAGGTGTGGAAGCTGATATTGGTAGCTCTTTAGGATAAACAACAAATACATTCACCTCTCCAAACAGTTTACTACTCTTGGCAAAGACTAAATATTCCCACATTTAATAGCTTAGCAAATACTATCGATGATAGTGAACCTCCTGATACTACTTAATGAGAAAATAAAATTAAGCTTTTCAGAAATTAAGAAAAATCCCAAATCTTAAATTGCATTAAAGATATACACTTTTAATCAGGTATAAATGTAAAGATGCTGCAACTTTTTCTTCTATTTTTTATTAACACTTTTAAGGTTACCTGAAAGCTACTACCAGAACTGCTAAACATTGTGTACTGTATGTGGTTTCTTGGAGGTGATAGCTGTTGGAGAACGACTTCCTCAATTAGTTTTGCACTGTACCTAAACCAAGGCTTTTGACTCAGAAATTCTCACGAAATTGAGAGATATGAGAGGCGTAAAAATATTCCCACCTTCAAGCCTCCATTTACATCTCCAGGGAAGGCTTCAGAGGAGCAGTAGAGGTTTGCCACCTCCTCAGCTGCTCCAGATCAGTCTTGTCTGCAGCTGAAACTGTAGGGTGAACTCTGGTTTCTGAAGAATCAGTATTTATGCCGGTAAATTCAGTGAGACTGAAGAAATTGTCAGCCTTATGGTTTTGACTCATTACTTGGATTACTTTAGATTTATAGTTGATGGGTATTTGTGTGTCGATAATGTAGTCTGCCTTGGTTTTCAAATGACTATACACTGTATTTTGTTTGGAGACAGAGAGGCAAAACCAGGATTTTCTATCCTTCTTCACTGCCTAGGATCTTTGCTCCGGAAAAAATGTACCGTGAAAGTAATGGTCCTGTCTATCATGTCTCGTGGCATCCAAAGGTTAACGTACTTGAGGTTAACGTTACCGCTCGCGTTTTCACCTAAAACAGATGGGCTCGTACTGTAAAGCTAGACAAAGTCTAAGCTGGCTTTTTGCAGCACAGAGGTACCAGGCACCTTTTTCTTCTGGTTTATACCACTGTGAAAAACGGATAGATAAAGGTGAAGTTAATGGTACGTTAGAGCTACTCTGATACTGGCTCCTTAGGACATGGGCGAGAAATCTGGCTGTTGAGTGACCAATGGAAGGTGCAGGCAGGACACAGCTCATTGAGGCACGGCGTACCTGCAAAAAGCACCGTGGGGAGATGGGGAGAACGGGATTTATTTACCATGTGCTTGGGAGGGCAACAGCGGTCTCCAGCCGATGTCTCCTGGGGCCTGTTCCCTCTCAATTAGATGCTGAAGAGAGCAGCGGTTTCAGATTGTTTCATGAAGTCACAAAACTTACTTGGAAAACCAGGATGTGCTCCCAACCTGCTTATTTACCAGTTCTCTAAAGCTCTGCAGTGGGATGATGTTTAATAACGCACTTGCCACGCATCGTTTTTTCACTCGGTAATTATTGAGACCTCCTAGGCTCAATCGCTGTACCCTCATTTTTCTGTAGTTAACAGTGGGAAAGCAGTATTTATATATATGATTTTCCCATAGAGATTTTTTTTTTATTATAGTTAAAGTTTAATTTAATTATAAATGCAAACAAATGTTCTGAAAAAGCCTATTTACATTGCAGAGATTGACTGTGCAATCAGTTCTTATACAGGCCAAATACTTAATGGACTCTTTCTTCCCACTTGCCTTGCCATTGTGTTACACCTACATTTATAGGATATAAATAATATGTATCACATTGGAAATTAAAGATCATAGAAGACACTCTAGGCTGGCTGCCATATCAAAGTATTTTTTATTAGAGTAATCATTAATTAGAATATAGCAAAGCTTTATTTGGCTCCTTTTCCTATACTGTTAATGTCATCTGCAGCATCAAAAATTAAATGAGAGAACTGGTGAATATGAAAGGAAAACAAACTAACAGTTGACAGCTTCATCATTAAAGAAGAAATAAGAGTAAAAGTCTAAAAAGACCCTTGATATTCTAGATTTTTTGGGGGGTGAGGATGGGTTTACAATAAAAATCATGCCTTGTGTCTGTTTAAATTGTCTGAATATACTTTGTGTTTCCTTCTCATTTCTTGAGGTAGGCAGCTCCTGAAGAGGGCTTTGACCTTGCCAACATGAGCATCAGCAGAACAAACTACCTTATTTACTTTATCCCTTTCACAGAGTTTTCTTTTTCTATAAAAGTCTATTGATATCACACCTTTTTTGTTTCTGTGCAACAGGATTATCTTTTATCTATGATTTATTTTCCCATTAAGAGCTGAAAAGATCAGTTGATCATAAGAGGACCAGGCTATAACATCTCTCAGCACTTTCAAAACTCTAAGTCATCATTTTTCAAATCACTGAATCAAGGCAGTAGATACTGTTTGGACCAATACTGACATCAGGACATTCGTACTTTTCTTAGTCTACAAGCACTAAAAGAATTTTGGTTTTAGAAACTAAGCTACCAGTCGCTCAATATTTCTGGCTGTTAACCTATGGCAAAGGTTTCTATAATAGCCAGAGACACTAGACAGAGATGTCCATTCCTCTTATGCTTTCTGTATTATTGGTTAAGTCTAATAGTTGCAATTTAAAAAAAAATTTTTCTTTTTTTTTGGTGGTGCTTGGCAATTGTTTAAGGATTTTATGAAAAATCTGGAGGACTTTTGTTGATTTTAAGCAAGATCCATTAAGTTAAAGCATTTATAGATATTTATAAGGATATTCTTTTAATTCACACCTGTAGGAAAAGGGATAAGGTTCTATAAATGCGTCTTTTAAGCCATGTAGAGTTTGTTGGCAGCTCCGGGATATGAGGATGCTACTAAAAAGATTGAATGTTTTGGCCCAGCGCCCCAGGGTGGGGCTGACCAGGGCCACGGGCCCATGGGCAGGGGTGGGGGAGCACCAGCTGGGGCTGCTCAGCACCATTAAGGCACCACTATATGAAAGTGGGGACAGGTGGGGGATGCTTTTCAAAAGCAAGCTTCTGACCTCATCAAAGATGCTAACAGGGAGGCAAGAAGTGCCTGAGAAAGGAAAACACCAAAAAAAAAAAAAAAAAAAGGGAGGACTCCATCCATAAGGATGTTGATATGTAAGTAAGAGTGTGAATTTGTGGTGGGCTCCCTGCCCTCGTCAAACTCATCGTGTTGATGCGCGCTGTGATATAACGGGGTGAGACCTTCTTTGTGCTAAACTCTAGGGGTTCCCCGTCCTGCTCGCGCATGCCTGTCCCCGCAATCCTCAGTTGCCCTCTGTGCTTGAAGATCAGAAATACCTGGGTGAGGAGGCAGAAGCTGACTTCTTTATGCCTCCTGTGCTAATCTGCTGGGTAGCTGGCAAGGCGTTCAGTTTCTATGACTGTCAAACAAGCAATTTTCATGAGTACTAAATTAACTGAAAAAAATGGAGCTATAAAGGGTTCATAACACATTGCTGAAACATTAGGATTCTATCCTAATGCATATATGTTCAGGGAAACTAACCATAGAAATACAAATTTCAATACTTATTGGTTCGTTCAGTAAGTGTTGGTTCATAAATAATACAAGAGAGTTCCTAATTGTCTTTATTTCCAATGCTTTGTTTGCAAAATGCTTGGTATTTGCTGTACAGATGACCTTTGCATCCCGTTATTTCATTTGGAATACCTTGTACATTAACTGCAAAGCACCACGTATTGTCCAAAGGTTAATTACTGTGTTTTTACGGCTTGGTTACTATACTTATGTACCAAAGGGGGTGGAAAAATCCGACGAATTTTTGTAGAGGCTAAATATTCCGTTATTGCAGAGAAGTACATTTCTTATGGAACATGGAAAAGGATAGCCAAAGATATCCAAATTGGTAACTGCATTGAGAGAAAATGCGAATTTAATCTTAGCCTGACAGTACCTTGAGTTAACAAAAACCATTTTGGCAAAATGAATTAAAATACTTCTGTTGTTTCTTCTATAAGAATATACTGGCATGTAATTCAGTTTAAGAAAAATTAAAAGTAAAATTTAAACCACAAATAAGTGAACTGATTGCGAATATTTATTAACTAAATAATTTAATAATAAAGAAAATGCCTACTTGATTAATTGTTACAGAGTAAAAATTACAATAAAACTGTCTTGATCAGTGCTTTGCAGAAGCACCATTACTGTCTGTGCAGTTGTTTAACAAGGATTTAATTGGAAAGATAAGTGAATGCACATTTAAAAGTATTGTTAATTTGCTTTATAATCACCCCATCCTTCACAGTATTGACAGCAC